TTTTTTTTTTTTTTTTTTTTTTTTTTTTTCATACGTAGCTCTGTGTTAAGTTTCGTTATTCACTTGCTTATGTTCAACAGCGCTGTTTTGGGCGAGCGCATATTTTATCAGCAGAGTATACTCTAAGTTTGATGGACAATGGTCCTGGACGGCTAATTCCAAAAGATGAAATAAATAATTTCGAGCCTTAGGTGTGAGCGCCTCTCCGCTATTCCATAACGGACGAGTCGCTGAGGTGCACGTGAGGTGCAGTTTTGTAACTCACCGAAACATGCAGCTCCTCAATGTTTTTTAGTGGAAAATCGCGCCGATGTACAGACAGCCAACAGCTATCGAATCCGGTTTTTATCAAGTGCCGGAAGCACCACAACCTGTGCACTTACCACCAGCAGCAATTCCCATCGTACCCCCGCAAGGAACCGTATTCTTTGCGCCACCGTGGTATTATCCAAGTGGGATGCCGCAGACAGTTTTCATTGCACAGCCGCCAAATATGTCGTTCGAAAGTAACCTGATGGAGGGCCCGTCCAATGACTATTGCTCACTGCAAGGTTCGTGACGCGTACATTATGAAGCTACTAGAGCCGTGGAGGTGTGAGTGGTCAATTTCAATCCCAGTAGGATTCCGATGGTTTCACAGTTGGGAGGAGCCAGACTGGGCCCCTTGGAGATGAAACTGCATTTCACTCGGTACTAGATCGAACAAAGAAAAGGTGGACAAAGGTCGGCCTTAACTCTCTTTTTCAAATGGACGCTAAGCGCAGAATCTGAGTCTGATTTTCAGAAGGGCCTACACCGGATACGCTAGCAGCAGACTCGATGTGCTACACGCCAGCTCCTTTGCCGGTCTCGTTGTCTCCGTTTCAGCCTGTACCGGTACTGAACCCGTACGTGCGTGCAAACCCGGTCTTTATTGTCCAGCAGCCGTTTGTTGCTCCTCCGACTACACTGAATCCATGTATGCCAGCACTAGCGGCACCGCAACCGCTGTGCCCCAAACTGAACGTCTTATCGCCTCCTTCCAAGCAGTACCAACCGTGGTCCACAGCAACCGTTACCGCTCCAACTATGCTAAAGAGCTTACCGGTAGAGGAGAACAACTCCGCAACAAATAACAATATCGCCTTCTCACAAACAACCCTCACTTCGGGATATGTGAGTGCCACGGAAACTGGTAAGATGATTCCTTCGCGTTTTAAAAACTAAAACATTCACTCGTTCAGGCGAAAAAAAAATATTGTTTTTTTTTGGGCATTGGCCATAGCCGAGAAGGGGACGGTGGTTTATTTCCTAGGTATTCTTACTCGATATTTTAACTGTTTGCTTTATTTTTGCTTTACCTTCTACCTTTATTTCTAATTTTTTTCCTTGTTGCCGATTAGTTGAAAAGTTGAGGCAAATTTCAGCGAACAAACAAACGGCTCAACAGTCGCTGCACATGGAATGTGATGGTGCTACGCATGAAGCTGGCGAAGTGCCCGATACTGAAAACGAGGAAAAATCAACGGCTACCGAAACCGCGAAGTGTGTCGTTTGATAAGCCTGCACAGCTCAGTGATTCCAAAATGGTCCCAGACAGATTTTTCGAAATGAAGACTGACTTCAGGCTCTAGTAGCAATCACAAGACTGGCAGCAAGCAGCTACCTTCTCTCATTTTTTTGATAAGAAGCTGAATTTGCTTCGTTATCCTGATCATAGGGGAACCAATCATTTTGCCACTGTGGTACCCTGTGAATTCGCTTGAAATTCTGTTCGCGATAGTTTTTTTTTAACGTAAAATGTTATTTAATTTTACAATTTCGCGATTTTACGTGAAATTTTCCTTAAAATGTTATTTCAGGCAGTGAAAAAACAGTACAGAGATTCAGCGGTGAACCTGTAACAGTTGGTGGCTCCAAGACGCTTGGGGCTGCGCAAAAGTGCGCGTAGCAATTGAAGACTTGCAAGTGCTATGGCACCCAAGGCCGGTACTTAGCTTGCAAGCGAAATTATGCGACCCGAATGCCCATCGCAAGGACGCCGAACGGGGACACTGCTTGATTTAAAAAACATGTACTGTTGCTGTGATTGTTACTATTTAGCGTATTAGAGATAAGTAAATTTCTTGGATTATTTTGGTTTTTTT